TTGCCAGTCATTTTGAAGTAAGGAATATAATTTCTACAAATCTACAAGCAATAAAAAATAGACTTCTAACAATTATTGGGTATAAATATATCAATATCTAAACTCTTACTACAGTGAAACCTGTCTACAAAAAACACACAAGGGAGACAAGAAAAGTGGTCTTTATAGGCAGGTGGTCTTTATGTACAGGTTCCTCTAGTACACGTTTCAATGAGAAACCATTTTCAAGAGAAACGAAAATGTGGTCTTTGTAGACAGGTGGTCGCTAAAGCAGGTTTGACAGTATTCATGCAGCAAGATCAAATGCCCTCCACTGACTATCATAACGGCTTTGATCAAGGGTATTGACACATAGATATATCGTGCGACTGTATAGCCTTGGCCCATTTCTTCGTAATTATCGATATTAAACACATTTAAGGGGTTCGACCGGGTGATGGACAGCGATGGTCAACGGTGGTCAAGATTTAAATCAGTAGTTTTCATTTACTTCCTCAAATCCCTCATCTTAAGCACGGACTCCACTGCGGACTCCACTACATACCCCCCCCCCCCCCCCCCACATGGTTCCCGACAGCCCCTTTCCTTTAAGGGGCTTGGGTTTCTTGGGCATTTCTAACATGTTTACCCTCCTTAAATTCATATGTATTCAAGATTTATTGGGGACTTGAGCTTGAGCCGCCCCCCCCCCCCCCTCTTGAACCCATAATAGCTGTGAAAAACGAAAAGTTTTTTTTTTTTTAAGGTATATACATGTAGCTAAAATCTCCTTAAAATGCACATAGAGGGGGAGGGGTTAGTCATACCCAACTCACACTGTCAAACCCGACTCTATCCAAAGTACAATATTTAGTATGCATTTCAAACTAGTACCGCAAACTCTTCTACAGGTGTTGAAGGCAAAATCATGGAACTGAACAGGTAAAAGGTGCTTTTCAGTCAATAGATTCTACAAATATTATTACTATCTCTACAAAGAAGTTGACCTTGTAAAGTCACGTGAAACATGCAAATTCAGGGGCATTGTCTTTGCGATCTTGTACAATCCACATCATCTGTATCTGACTGTTGCGTTACGGAAGGAATGCTTTGAGGCTCCTTGCACGTCTATCCTCGCTCTCTATACAGCACGTTTCCTCCTTCTCCTCCCCAGCTACAGCAAAAAGGTCCTTGGCTACATATATTTCCTAAAACATTCTGAATAGAGGGTTAATCCTGGCCTTCGCTTCGGGCTAGGGTGAAGTCCAAGTTGGTGAAGTCTCTATAAAGTTTCTTTCTCCTGCGATGAAATCTTGGGTCAAATTAATGTATCAAATATCTCGATGATGAAAAACGTGTATTACAATAAAAGTAATGTGATATTGGCGTGAGGGTTTAAATGATATAACGGTTCATGCACATAGACCACTCACAAACAAACTCAGATATTTTTGTTATAAAAATACGAGAAAATATACCTGCAGTGCTGCGCTTGTACTATGCTTGACTCGTTTATCAAATTTCCAATTTACCAAATCTGACTCCGCTTTCACACACATCTACATATTCATAAATATACATTGCGTCCCAGAAAAAAAGAAACCGAGAATTATCGATGTTTTATCATAACTTAATCACAATTATAATTAATAAATGACACATATTTTTAAAGCTTAGATCCTCTTCTTTCATTAAATGGAACTCATATGATGCATATTTTACGCATGAGTGATTAAAAACAATTTGAAGAGAGGAAACCAAAAAGTCGTTTGGCGGGCGGTATCTGAATTTCAAAGAGAAAATCACATTTCTAGAAAGTTCATTTTTTGCCCTTTCATATGACACCTCAATCAGGAAAAATGAATAACACAGTTCTGTTTGATTAATCGAATTCGTTTTCACTGGCTGCCTGCCGTAGCAACCAACAGAGTTGACAAAAAACTTAACTCCGTTTCGTTGACGATCGGCCATGCACAAAGAAGACGAAAGACACGCACACATCCCCGCTAGAAGCATTCAAATTAAATGAAAATGCAGAAAGTATATTACGAGGATGGTTTGTGATTTTACACGACCGTGAAAGGGTTTATACGTAGTTATGCACAAATTCGAGTACAAAGCAACAAAACTACGAAAGTATTCATTAGTTGTGAGTTTTATTATCAAATCACATAAAAAATATAATGTATTAAAGAACAGAGAAACAAAAGATCACATCACAATTATTGTCAAAAATTTGCAAAAGGGGCCCATAGTTAAGGTATTGTTAAAAGTGTTACAAGTTTATTCTAAAAGATAAATGTAAGCTCGGTAGTGGGCGATAGTGTTATTTAATAAGAAGAATTCAAATGAAGACGTAAAGGTAATAGTGGGTGCAATAATCACTGTTGCATTCTTGGGGGCAATTATGGGCTACAAGATATGGCAATATAAAAATAAGTTTGGTATACCTTTGAAAAGCAAACTACGCAACCAAGCAGTCATTAATACTATAATAACTAATATGATGTATTTTAACAACAATTAAGTTTTCTATGAACTAAATTTGTTACAGAATGACCGTCAAATTGATCTTCTGTGTCATTTTGTGACTTACCGTTTGGTATATAAAATTAAAATATTTCATAAATTTGATGAATGGTAGATAGGAAACTCAATTGTTGAGAAAGTACTTCATATTAGTCAATATGAAATATCATTAATTAAAATGTCCCTGGTATTCTGTATCTAAAATGGAAAATGATTTGGAAATGTCATTATTTCACAACCACGCTTGGAATTTGCCCCAACTGACAGCAACAAAAGACATGTTGCAAGCATTTTTCTATGAATTAGACATCCTCCACCTATCATATAGGTTATTATGACAATACACATAATACAAAAAATAGGTTCATATAAAATTGTTACAAAAATATTTATCCATTTTATATGAATTGATAGAAAATATGCCACAACACTACTGCATGTATGAAAAGCAACACATAAACCTACCATGTATTTCCAATTTCCAGAGATATAATATGTTTTCTACCATTTCCTCTTTTTGCAAATCCATGATATTCATATAATTGTATAATAAAAGTTAAAATTTAAAGCTGAGCTGATTCTATTCATCTTTTCCTGCTTGGTACAAAATTAAATAATGGAAAGACAAATCATCAAATACATCAATTCGTAATTTTTCTTATTGATACATATGGTTTTCGAAAGTACATGATGTGCATGCATGACTATATGACAGAGATAACGATTTGCTAATATAAACATAAAGAACCTCCTGTCCACAGTGCATATAGATCAAATCGATTAAAAACACATCTCTTACAGCGATCAATGAAAATAAATGTAAATATGTAATACTGATAAAACCTCTTAATTAGTGATTATCGTATACATCAAACATGTAAGAGATACACAATTAAGAGTAAACAGGTATATTGCACCGTACAGCAGTTCACTAAATCATTTTTGAAAAAATTAAAAGCCAGTTTTCCTGACAACTCATTTCTTTTTTAGTTTGATTTAAATGCAACATACCGGCTATTCTATTCTTGTTCTATATCTGTCACAAAAGTAATTTGTTTCCAAAAGTAATTAATCTTCAATAAACATTTACATGTATCTTGAATTACAAAGAAATGTATACCAGCCTCATTGCATCTTAAACATGTATCAGAACTCTTGAATCCACTCTATTTCAGTTAACATTAACTTGTAAATGAATGTTAGGCCTTGTCCACATATGTCATTCTGGTTTACTGCCTAGGCAAGACAAAATGAGAAAAGTGTCATCCTGCTGATGTCACTTCATACTCAAACAAGTATTGCATGATCAATAGTAGAATAAAAATGAACCCCTACTTGCAGAATTTAAAGGAAATAATTCACAAACATATTACCCTTTTTGCCTAAAATGATGTACAAAATTGGGCCTAAATACAGCCCTTTTCGGGGGCTTAGCGAGTACAAATTCACATTAAGTACCCTATTTTCATCAATTTTGCAATATCTTATTCAAGTCGCGGATTCCTCCTTGAAATTATGACCACCCTCTTCGTAAATTTTCATGCTATTTTAGATATAACATACCCTTTCACTTTCAAATTTGCAACATCCCCAAAATTAAACAAAATCTTTACAAAAATTGTAACTATCATGCGTACACACAGTCAACTTGGACCGACACCGCCGGAAGCAAAATGTGCTTTGTTTTTCAGTATCTTATAAAAAAAAGTCATGAGAGTTCACTTACACATCAAAGAAAACATTTTGTTAACCCATCATATGTTAACAAGCCTTTAGCGTCTGCAATGCACTATAAAATCGTTTTTGATTTCAAACATTAATCCTATGATAACTTAAAAGGTCGACAAAGGATTGAATGAATACAATTTGCCACCTCTGAAAGGTCAACTAATCAAAAAGGAATATCTGTGTAACACTCCTTTTGTCACCTTTATCCGGTATAAATTTGTCAACATAATACAGCATTTCTTCAAAATCTGGCAGTGAATTTAATATCTATCCTCACTATAATTGTGTATTACCTCGTCTACTGTACACCTACAGTGAATAGATCTGATATTTATTAACTGTATTACCATTGTTTGTTCCCCCCCCCCCCCATTTATCTACCTTCCCCTATTCTTTACTATTCTATTATCAATATTCAGCTTCTTTTTTTTGATCTACCATATTCTATAAATTAGTGATAGATCTGCTATTTATTTATATTCAGTATAGATAAATTAGATTAGTATTTTTAGTCTCCCCCCGCCCCCGTAATGTACATTAGTTCATTCGTTCACCTTCCCCATTTCCATTTCTATTTCTATATCTATTTCTATTTCTATTTCTATTTCTATTTGTGAGTTTGTTTTTATTGTATTGGTTCAAACAATCAATATACTGCAGGATAAACAATCCAGAATGAATTATAGCCATGTTCTCTCAACATAGGATTCCCATACCAGAGCTCAAGATTAGCTTTAATGACATATCCTTTGATAAATGTGTTATACTTGTATATAAAATCTAATAAAGATCTGATTGTTATTTCAAATCATTTTTTTAATAAAGCTGTTAGATGTCTAAATCTGACAAAATAAACAGAAACAATTTCCTTTTTCGTTTTTCCAAATCAATTTTGGAACATCATGTACAGTTCAAGCATATGTATAAAAAGTCTTCTATTCAGTTCAAACACAAAGTTATGTCCTGGAACGAAATTAAAAAAATATGCAACCAAAAATCTATGAATCTTTTTACATTTTCTAGTCCGACAAGTATATATTTTCATTGAGCAACAAGTCTTCCATGTTAAGAAAATAACACATCTATGCAACATATTACAAATGATTTTGCAGCATTCTCATAGAATGAAATTTGATTGTGAGTGCTATGAATACTGTACAGACCATTAATCAACCTAAAGAATAACATTTGATTTTGATATAACAGGCATTGCCATTGATTTTAGCCAAATTAAGAGGCATCTAAGGCTTCGAATTCAATGGGTATTTAATACTGTGTGCTTAAAGTCAAATAAAAATTTCTATAAATTAATAAATAATAATTTTAGTACTATCATTAAACATGTTGTGATGTCCCTTACTTCAAGCTCTGGCAGTGGTTGTTTGATTTCTACCCCGGGTAGGGGCACTTTGAGAGGGGCGTAGCCACCCCGGCAATCTGGAACTTCGCGGCCAAGACATTGGACGGCACCCTGACCTTCTGGTTGGGCTGCTGCCCGCCTACGAAGACATCGATGGTGCAGGGCTCAATGAGCCACTGGTCGGTGTAGACGGCCATGACACGAGGGACGATCTTGAACTCGAGGGAGACGCTCTTCCCGGGGGCCAGCTCTTGTCGAGAGAAGTCAACAAGCTGCCGGATCGGCATCTTGGTGCTGACGTTCTGCCAGCTGATGTAGACTTGAATTACCTGGATGGGAGGAGATGACCATAAGTAGACGTGTCGCAATCAAATCCAAAAGAGTTCAAAATGCTTGGAAACGAAATGTTCAATTAATGTAATGTTTTTAGAACAATTTAAGATGGTCGTAGATATAATCCAGTTATCACCAATAAAGGAAGGTAAACTTACCAATACACCCCATTTACAGTTATTTTGATGAGAACTTGTTCGATTAACAAAAATCAGTTTGTCTATTTTTGTAAAGCTCTTTCATTTTTGTAAATAAAAAAACCCAAAAATTTCAACCAAATAATAATGGACTAATTTTCATACTCAGGCAAAAATTGTCCACATGATTGGTTTACTGTTGACCAGGCACATTTAAAATCATTTAGCTAACAAGTTTGATTGTTTTCATAATATAAAAACGTTTTAAAGTTTGTTATTATGACCCCTAATGTTTTTCTTCTCTTTTTTCTTTATCAAAACAGTTAAATCAAAAAGACTTTACAATTAAATCAACATTGTCACAAAGCAACTGACTAGCCAATCATGACGCAAACAGACCAGGCCTAGATTTCTTACAAACATGCAGACCAATTGAACTATCTCATACAGATGTTCTGATGAGGCCTGACACACCAACACCCAAAATAGCCCCCAGGAACAGGCCTACTACTAAAAGAAAATTGCATCAAAACTTCTGTAAGTGCATACGGATACGTCATTGAACCCCTCGCAAACTGAATTGTCTATTCCAAGGTTTAGAGGAAAGAAGAGAGAGAGAGGAGAAGAGAGAGAGAGAGAGGGGAGAAGTGAGGGATCAAGAGACAGAAAGAGAGAGAGGGAGAGAGAATTATGGAAATGTTGGATTGAATTGAGTGTTAGATATTTGATACATCCTATACCTAATGGAAGTAAGGGGAAATAATCTTCGGATGATTATTATTGTAGGGGGTAACCCAATTACAACTGCCAGCCAGGGATGGTTTATAACAGTGAATAATAGGCAAATTATGCATTACGAGTTATGAATCACTGCTATAAAGTGCTACATAATGTAGCTGTTGCAGTGCATTTTGGTTTAAACTACAGAAACATTCGCAGCTGCGTGTAATTGGATAATTGGCACAGATGATGAACAAGGAATTTCAGATTGCCCTAAGCCATTGACACATTTTACGCAGCACTTTCAGAAAGTACAGGGGATCTTTAACCAATAAAACATGTGTTCTACTTCTGTTGAAATATGCTGATCATCTCTTTAAAAGCCCGCAGGAGGCCATTAATTATTTAACAGAAACATCTATGGTGCGTGAAAATGCGTTACCATATGACACATACATCTGGATAAGTGTTGGTGAAGATGATTAAATTGATCCCGTACATTCCCAAAATGAAACGATATCAATAACAGACATCAATAGCTGATTATCAAGCATATCTTGTGGGGAACACAGAGGTAAGTTAAAAAGGTTTGTTAAGCTATTGCTCTCTTAGTAGTTATGAAAGAGATAAATTGACCAACGTACATGTATAAAAAAGGAGAATGTCAGCTTTTGTTGTTTCTAATTATTCCCCTGGAAATGAACAGAGCATGCTGATTAAACTTTGAGAACCTGAATATTTTACAGGAACATAGTGAGAGCACTAATAGTGCTCTTCAACCCTTTCGATGACTAATATTCAATTTCATTTCAAAGAAATAATTAGATACACAGGGTGAATCTATTTATTTAAACAAATTATTAACAAGTTACCCATCAAGCGAACACTGGGATTAACGCAACTCTACATCTGTTAATACCATCTATGTACCATCTATGACACCAAGCTTCAAATCTACATTCGTACCTTGATTTTTTTTAGAGTCCAATAATTTATCCTTTACACCTACAGTTGTTCCTGTTTCATTGTTGAATTAGGTGAATATAATTATATGTACTTCCACATGAATATAAACTTCATAACGATTATCTTGTAGATGTACAAAACTAGTCATTGATTTGTAGTCAAAACCAATTGTACACCAATCAAATTCTTGGGTAAGATTTGCTGCCTGCATGCCCACAAGAAGAGAGAAGGAAATATATTATGAAAGTGGGTGAATAAGATTCAACTGAAATTGAATTATTTAAATTGGATTATCATTAAAGTGGGAATATTCATGCCAGATCAATTTGGCTGGTTCACAGTTACCACAGTTAGCCCTGTCTACATATTGTGTAGGTGACAAATAGAGAAACTGATGCCAACTTATCTCGCCAAATAGGGGAAACCCGTTATGTCATCAGAAGGGTCTCGTCCCCCACCTCTAAATTGAGGCTTGAACTTTCTTCCTACGTTTGAGCCATCAACACCCATTAATATCAAAACGAGGGTATTCCCCAGGGTCTCTTAGTCAGGGGTGATTCACAACTTCTCTTCTCTATTTCTAAACAAAGTGAACCAGACTTTCATGAAAACTTAAAAACCGCTTTGTGATGTCCCCCGTTGTATGCTAAACAATGATGGCTACTGAGTATGGGGTTGTGGTAGGTATCCTTTGGGATCCTCTGAGAATTGAAGTTTGAACATATTTCCAATAGTACTGTTTAATTTCCTTTAAAAGTACCTTAAGCTCTAGTTGTTTGAGAATTACATATATAATAAACTCTAAAAGATATAACAAAAAAGAAAGAGAGTTGTATATATAATTTGTTGTTGGGGTTTGTTAGCCTGGAAAATAATTGTATACCTACACATATTTTGAAAATGACAGACAGATGTGTCAAAAAGCGTACCCATTCCCTTGATGCATCTTCTTACATTCTTTTCTTACACAATAGTTTTGACATTATAACAATGAAATAAAAGTTAGTTTATCTTTAGGTAGAAAATACCTCACTTTAGTCAATAAAGCGGCAAAGATGTAACACTTAATTTTAAGGGGAAACGTTCTTTAATAAGGGAGCAGATTTGACTCCTTTGACCAGGGAAAAAAATACACAGAGACTCGGGGCGATTTAGCCCTCGAAATGCCCAAAAGAGCCCCCGAAAGTCATAAAAAGCCCCCTAAAATTTGCATAGAGTTCAATGCAAAACAAATTGAAGAGTGTTATTCTCATGCACGCAAGCTTGAAAAGTAGCCCCCAAAGTTGTTAAAATAATTTTTTCCTGCCTTTTACCCTTTCCCACATACCTCTTCCTTCTCCCTTCCAATCTCCTAACTACCCTCTCCCCTACCCTACCTTACACCCTTTCATAACATATAGCACCATGTCTCTCCCTTTCTCCCCTTGTCTGCTCCCTCTGCATGACATGTTCCCTCTCCATGCCTCCTCCATACCCCTTTCCCTCTTCCCCTCTACCATCCCCTCCCCCTCTGCTCCCCTCTCCTAAACCTACCTTCCCTATCATACTCCCCTTTTATCTTCCCATCTGTTCCCTCTGGATCTCTCCCGCTACATTTACTCTATGTCTCCTCTCCACTCCTGTTCCCCCTCCTCTCCCCTTTCCCCCTCCCTTTTTCCTCTAGCTCCTTTCCCCCTCTCCCCTTCCCCTCTACACTTCCCTTTCCCCATCCCTTCCCACTTTCCCCTCTACTTTCCCCTCTACTTTCCCCTCTCCTTTCCCCTCCCCTTCCCCTCTTCCATCCCCTCCCCTACTCAACTACCCCACACACTCAAAACCCCACATCTACAGTTACCCACAGTGAGGCCTAGTTCATGTTACTCAGTGCATTATCTTCCCCATTAGACAGCAGCATATTTCTGGACTATGTTTAATCCCCTAGTGGCTGTGTGGGAGGTATGGATAGATTTTAAAAACATTCAATAAATAGAGCAGTCAGAATTAAAAGCCACTAATGGAGCTTGAGAAGCGATTAGGATCAAAATGGGTACAATTTGATGAGTGACGAGGGGTGATTCAATAATGGAATGTTTCCTGATTTCTTTTTTTTTTCCTTTTTATCTTGAATTCTGACTGTGTAATTGCAAGTCAAATGGCTAAATATAGAGCACCTAAACCGCCATTAATGGGATAAACATACAACTGTGCAAATGTGAGTTGATATACATGTATGCTAAACTGACCACATAATAATAATGAGATGTACCACTAAATAAAAAATCAAATCAAGATGCAATACTTTCGTTTCAAGGGATGATCCACCTAACATAGTAAACCAATTGTCCATGGAGTACAAGCACTGGATAAATTAAAAGTCTATTTACATGCACAAGTAAATATTAATCAAAGGAATTCTCAAAAATGGAATGTAACTGGTAGGAATATATCTAATTTGTAACTATGTCATATCATGAGAGCAACTTAGAGATTTGTTCATAAAATTCAATAGCAATTCAATAGTAATAGCAATATGAAATTCAATATTTTCATAGTATGGCATGAAATTGACTCAGACATGTGAATGAAATGTATAAAATATAGAGTATAAATGTTTTTAATATATAATGTAATATATTATGGAGTAAAACACGACTTTGTAAAACATTTGTATTTTGTATCATTGTTCATCAAAATGAAATCAATATTTGTTCAAGAAACATGTAAATACATTCAGACTTTCAATTTAAAAGAGATGGATAAAAAGAAAAGATAAAAAACAGAGAGAGAGAGAGAGAGAGAGAGAGAGAAAGATACATTTAGGGAAAGATTACAATCTTCTCCTAACCTACATGTATATGGCAAGGCCAACAGTTTCTTTAAAAAGACCAAAACCTCGATAACCCATATTTCTGCACTAGACTCCCCAACACCCCACGGCTAAACTTTAACCTAATATGAAACCCAATCACAACTCCAAGCCCAACCATATAAGTGGAGCAAATTGTATGTCCACAGTAAAGAGGAGAGAGAAAGAGAGAGGGAGGTAGAGAGAGAGACAAAGAGAGACAAAGAGAGACACAGAGAGAGAGAGACAGAGAGTTATCACGGTCTTCTAACCTATATAGCACAAGGTCAATAATTTCTATGAAAAGCCCTACACTTCCTTACAGGATAACCCATACTTCTGCACCAGA